GCAGCTCCCGCCCTGCCCACGCTGGGCCCCAGCCGGGTGCACTTCAGCTGGCGAGCCTGGGACGACGCCCGCCGCGGCTTCTGGAACAAACGGAGGCGCCCGGGGCGCAGCATCCCCGCTCACCCCCTGCTCCAGGACCCCTCCCAGCTCTCATCTGAGGGCCCGCGGAGGCTGAGGGCTCCCCTGTGTCCTCCTCAGCCCGCTCGGGCTCTGCGCTCCTCCCCTCAGGTCCAGGCCGCCCTGTCACAAGCCCTTGCCTGGCAGCTGCCCGCCTGCCGTCCTCCACCGTCCTCCCGGGAGCTCCCCCTCCCCCCTTCACCGCCAGCCCCCTGATGGCTCCCCTCCCCAGGAGGCCTCTCGGTCCCCAGCCTCACACCCCCCACTGGGCCCCTTCTTAACTAGACCCCAAACTCGGGGGGGCCTCTGGGGGGCGTGCCCGCACCAGCTTCTCCTGGACTTGCTGCTTCTGCGCCAGGCGGATCTGGTCCAGCTGCTCCTGGCTCATGCCCTTCCAGCGGTCGGGAACCACGCGCTGGGGCCCCCGGGCGCTGGCCGCCTGCTGCGGGTTTTCGGACAGCAGGTCCCCGTGCAGCAGGTTGGCGAGCTCTGCCATGTTGTCCTCCTGTTCTTGTTTTTTCTCCTGGATTCTCCTTTCTGCTGACTCTGCAGCCTAAACACAGGGCGGGCGGGCCCGAGGGCGGCCAAAGCCCAGGCTGGCGAATGCCACCCTCGGCAGCAGGGACGGGCCGGCTGGGTGGGGGCCAGGACCACGAAGCTCGGATGGGCCCTGTCCGAAGGGACTCGGGAAGTCACCACTGGGGGCCGAGAGGGGCGGGTGAGAGCAAATCAAGTATCGCAGCTCTGCGCGCAGGCGAGCCCCGGAATGGCTGCGGCGGTGGTCAGAGGGCGTGAATAAGGAAGGCCCAGCGGGCCCGCCAACAGTGGGCCGAGGCGCGAGGGCGCGCTCCCCACTGGCCGGCGGTGGGGCCTGAGCAGAAGCCCTGCCCTTGGCCGCCCCTGAGAACAGGTGGCCGCAAGGCCTCCTGCAGCCGGCAGGCTGGTGCCCGGCTCCGCGGGCCGGGGTCCGTGTGCCGGCCTTTAAGTACGCGCCCCATCAGCTGACGCCAGGGGAGCCCCGTCCACTGCTCGGCGGCCCCCTCCGACCACAGGCACCACGTGCGCTGTGTGGTGTACACAGCCACGAGACTAAGGGCGAGGCCAGGGGAGTGTGGGCGGCCCCCGCCCCCCGCCCCCCAGCGGCTCCCGAGGCCGGACAGCAGCGCCTGCGAGAGCAGCCGGAGGGGCCGTTGCCCGAGAGCCTCTGGGACTTGGGGCCTCCCGGCCGCCGGCAGCTGGGGGGGCTGTTTGCAAGGAGGAGGGCAGAGGCGGCCGGGACGGGAGCCAGAGCCGCGCCCCGCGGCTCCCATCACAGAACAGTGGCCCCAGCCAGCGCGG